GACATCAGATCGATAAAACAGCTACTAAATCAGCTAATGCATCAGGGTATCTCCGGAGTCACCTTGCTAAAGATTCACATACTAAGTAGTTATGCGAACTTAAAACAAAATCAACCCAGACTGCTCAAGGTGGTGTTTAAATCTCCTTATCAACAGGGCCTAAATTACAGAATGTATACAAACTCAAGGATTCAGGAATTTTTGTCTGTAAGGACTTCCCGCTCGCAGACAGTGTAAAAAGACGAGAAGCTGAAATGGAATTGAAACTTTGGTTAGATGCTGGAGAAAAGAATCTGAAAGTTGTAGATTTTCGGGTTGTGAGACTTCGATAGCAAATGATGCTGAAGCGACTATGGGTGCAGCACGAGGTCATTTAAATATGCTTTGGATTTGTTACACAGGCTTGTTCAATAAGCGGTCGGAACTGGGTGTACAGATTGATTCTCCCAAGCCAGATGTAATTGCAGCCACAAAAGCCTGGCTGACGCGGCCTATAGATAGTATGGAACTTGATTCTGAAGGTTTTAGGTCAGTAAGAGTAGGTAGAATCTAGAAGCGTAAAGGAGAAGTAGCTCTATTCATCAGGAACACTATCCCATTTGCGTTATCAGCAATTTATCCCATGAGAGTGGGAAGTGTTGATTAGTTAGTTGCCGCTTGAAACGCAACGAACAAGAGCTGCTAATTGGTTTGATCTACCATAATCCAGACTGTCAGGTGAATGAGGTGTCTTTAGACGGTCCCAATTATTGCTCACAAACTGGTCGGTGTCTAATCCCAAGAGCCGACACCAGATCTAACGTCTGGAAAGCAAATATGCAAGTTATTATTCACTCAGCATCATTAGTAGATTGTACATTAGAGCCAGAGTCCTTAATTGAAACAGGTCGTGGTACATTTCGAAATTTATACTTGAAAGCCACTGAAACCCACATCTCTTGGACTACATCAAGGGGTACGAGAAACTCTCCACCATAGTTCAATGGGTAGATTATCATCCTTCTCAGTAAGAGGAGAAGTGTGTGGGAAACACTTAGGTTACTGGGTACTGATGAGACAAAATCTCAATATCGAGAAGCTCGTAATACTTGTGCCTCGACCCTCTGTAAGTCTCGAAGGTTGTACGAAGAAAAAGTTGTTAAGGAATCTTTAGAATGCTCTAAAATATTTCAACACTATGGGGAGACAGTAATGCTTCATCATTAGTATAGGACCACTGTTATGTCTGTCAATGTTTTATCAGTGGAATGTTGGACTGACTTGTGCTTGACACTGAAATCCAGAACCAGGCAATGCATCATGAGAACATAAAAACTGGTGATATAGATTTACTTGACCCCGGAAATAAATTGAACTGATACACAAATACAATTGTTTATACATTAAATTTACACTTGATAACAGTTATTACGCAGTGGGGAAATGCATAGAATCACTACAAGCTATGAATTTTGCAGTAAATTAGTGAAAGGAATATTATGGCGAATAAACATTACACTGAAATGAGTCAATGTTATACTGAAAAAAGCGATAACACAGAAACCAAAACAACTGTTAAATCACTTTAGCAATGTACACAACATAGAAATACCCTTCCCGTTAGTCCATACAAATCTTTTCCCCCACGCACACACACACTGGACAACTTGACCATTAAAGAACTCGATGTATTTCGTCTGCAAATAAGCTTGATATAGGCAAATCTACGGGACCCGATGAACTGCATACTAGGTTACTAAAGGAAGTAGCTAACTTCGTTGCAAACCCCTTAAGTATATGTGTTTAATCTAACTGTACCAAAAGACTGGAAGAACGCCATGGTATGTCCTGTCTTAAAAACAGGTGCGAAACATAAGCCTGAGAACTATCGACCCGTTAGCTTAACTAGCGTGATTGTTGGAATTTTAGAAAAGATTATTTGGAATGAACTGTTTAATTATTTCTATGAAAACCGAATTCTTTCGGAAAAGCAGCATGGTTTTAGAATAGGTTATTCCTGTCTCACTAAATTAATAATGGCTTGTGAAAGCTGGTGAGCTCTTCAAGTCCAAAAGCTTCATATAGAAGTAGCCTACATCGACTTCAGCAAAGCTTTTGACAAAGTTACTCACAACCGGCCCTTATATAAGTCAATAAATGTCGGGGTTGGAGGCAATCTATTGATGTGAATAAAAAACTTCTTAATTGGGCGTCAACAAAGAGAACGAGTGAACTCCAAGTTGTATAGCTAGAAATCTGTGCCTAGCTGAGTGCCTCAAGGTAAAGTTTTAGGGCCATTGTTATTCCTCGCATATGTAAATGACCTTCCTCATTCCCTGTCATCATCGGTCTTGCTATATGCTGACGATATCAAAATGTGAAGGACGATAAGAGGTTATGGTAATAGACCAGAACTTCAAAATGACCTGGAGACATAATCTGAGTGGTTCCAACCTTGACCGTTACCGATAAGCACTTCCAAGTGTATCGTGATGCATATCGGTCATCAAGGTACAGATACCTACGTGATGAATAACAGTGAACAATAACCACAAAAGGTTTTAGAACTCTATAATCAATATGTAGGGCCTTTAGTCATGTCGACGTTAAAACCTTTTTGACTTTGTACACAGTATTCGTGCGTCCTAAACTTGAGTACTGCAAACAAGCGGCTATCCACTGCTTAGAAAAGACAATGAACCTTTGGAAAAGGCTCAGAGAACAGCAAGAAAGCTGATTCCCGGAATAGCGAAGCTCCCGTATGATGCTCGATTCGCTAAACTAAACTTATTCCCATTTTCATATGGATTACAATTTTCAGATTACTTAGTGTTAAATTTGTACCTGATATGCCCTCATTTACTTATCTTCGAAAACAGAGATTTTACGGAGACACTCCAAAAAAGTTCACAAGCCGAGAACAAATTACTTGTCAGCAGATTATCAACTTTCCCGTCGAATCATAAACGAGTGGAATTCATTACCTCAACACGTGTTTGAAGCTCCATCTATCAACTCTTTCAAAAGAAAGTCGGATCAACTGAAGGACCATCGCCGCTAGAACCAACACAGGCCGATAAGCCTCTTGTCCTTAGCAAAGTGAAACGAAAACTCAGGATGGATTGTAGCACAGATTTACTAATGATATTCGTAACTTTACTTGTTCCACATAACTAACAGGAATTGTCGGTAAACAGTGCTTTAAAACACGAGAGCTAGTTAAATTGTCTTTTTCACCCCATTTAGTACCATGTGGACCATTTGTGCAAGTTCCTTGAAAATTGAGTGCAGACGACAAGTCAAGTTTCTGCGTTACTTGAAGGTAATCGGTAGTTGATGGGTCTTATGCATCAAACTCCTCTAATTTGTATTCATTTCCACGTGATAGACTTTAAAATTGACAGCTGAATGTTTATTGTCTCCTTTTTGCCTTGATAAAAAATAACAGGCTATGTTATATAAGTGATTTTTATCTCTTCTAAAATAACAGTTAACTAGAAATGTGATTCAAAGGATATCTGCATCTTCTTCAGAGTATTCTTACAACCACTTGTAATTATCTCCGATTCGACTTGACTGGTCTATCACAAAATTCTCAAAACTCTTCTTTTTGTATTCAGAAACTGACGTTCAATTTTGGCTAGGTGTTTTGTCGGTATTTGTTCCATCATTGGTTTTATATGGATAGTTTACAATGCATCCTTTCCTATCATTCACCGAAGCTCCACCTTTTGGGGTAAAACAGTGCACTCAAATTAGGCTTAAAGCTCTGTGAAAAGTAGAAATAATAGTGTCTGTTAAAACTTAGTCATAGTTGCTCTTCTTGACAGTGGCGTTCGTATAAAAAACTGGCAATCTGAAATAATCTGGACCGCACTGATCTATTTGAGCATTGCTCATATATATATATATATATATATATATATATATATATATATATATTGCACTACTCAATATATTCAAACCATGTCGTTTCTCACGAAATTCTCTAGGTTCTGTCGTTAAAAGTTGTGTTGAAACACTGACTCCAAACATGTTGCTAACGAGCGTTCTTAGTAATGGCTTATATACATTTTAGAGTAGTTTAAAATACGGTACTTTTTAGGTTGTCATGGTCTTCTACTAGCAGAAATACTGGGTCTCAGGGTTTAGTGAGTTTCGCAACTGGTATTGCTGTGAAAATTCACTTCTGTTTTATTGTTATTCATCCAAAAACCTGTTTACGGCAGAATAAAAAGGTGTAAATGACTCGCTACTTGTATAAATAAGTTAGAAAGTTTTCCGCTGTCGTTGTTCATTTCCTAACTCTGTTTCAAGATGTCTACTTCGTACGTAAACCATAGATTTAGTTTGTACACCACATAGCGGGCTCAGTCTTATTTATTAGAAAGATTCCGAAACGTCACAGCCATGGAAAAAATTGTTCAGACTAAAAAAGTAGAATTTTCTTGCAGCTATAAATTTATTTGAATTTTTGGTACAACAGACTGAATTTAGACAGCTGTTGAAAGCCAGGAAGCATTGGGTGGCTGTTTCATCTTAGTATACGATGACACCACTAGCAGTCAAACCCAGAACCCTTAGACCTTGTGGCGACTGTTTAACCTCCTGGCCACTGTTTCAATGTCCAGTGGTTTGTATGGCTGTGATACTGGCCGGGTGCCCGCAAATGCTTTGGCACGGCTGAGGGTGGAAGGAGTCCGCTCTCCCTCTCAAAATGCTCTCACATGATCACGTGCATACAACCACTTCCAGGGTAGTCCTACCTATTGCCTTCCTGTGGCAGGTGGTCTTCTTAGGGAGCCACACCCAGAGCCTTTGACATAAAGGTCTAATCGACAAGGCAGTGGAGCGACGTAAGAAGATGCAGTCCCATGGTAGCCGGTGACCAGAGATTGGTTCACACACCATTTGTTCCTTCAGGACTCTACAGCCCATGTTCACTGTTGGTTTGAAATCAGGATACTCCAACTCCCCTAGGTGGACCCTCCATATCCACCGAGCCAGTCAAAGCACCGGACATTCGCTTTTCTTCCTCTCAATTTTGCAAACAGCAGCAATGTCGTGAGAAGGCGGTGAGTAAAACTCCCCTGACAGTGGTTGTATGCACGTGGCCATTTGAGAGCGTTTCGAGAGGAAGAGCGGACTGTCCCCAACCTCGGCCGTCCCCTGGGTCTAACTTCAGAATCCCTAACTCGATGGTTCTAATATACACAAGTAACTCTTCAAATGCCTCTTTGGTCGGATATTAGTGAGGCATTTACTATTTCCAAGATCCATGTCACACACCCGCAAAGTAGAATGAAGCGAACTGTTGAGCAGTGTACTCGTCTTTCAGTTATCAGACGAGTGTCTCACCTAAGCCACGGGTGACGCGAGTTGTAAAAAGTTTACCATACTTTCTGGATTCGTGCCAAAATTTCGGCAGACGCCAACCCACTAGGGTTAATGATGCTCCCAAGATAAGTGAAGTGATCAACACAATTGTCTCACATTCTATCGTTAATTCAGGCGTTGATACATACCAGTTCTGAAGCAACATTTTTCATTTGAAGGGGTTGGGACGTACCCCAAACATGCCAGGATTGTTGTTTGAGGTTATCAGGAATATCTGTCTTCACTGAACAAAACTATATCATCTGCACCAGCAGGAGAATTTTATGGAAGAAGATCGATTCCTGATAAGTCAAGCGATAGGTATAATCTCTTAAAGAATTTTAATGACGAAGTTAGGTAAAATTGGGAGAAGCAGGTGACTATGACAAACACAATTTTAATTTATCAGCTTCGATAATTCACCGTAAGCTTTGAACCAACCAGTAGTTTTCGACTGGAGAACCTGTACATAGTTAATATTTTTTTAGTACATCTTTTAATGATGTTGCCACAAAACCTGTCGATCTTAGGAGTCGAACGGTACATTAACGTCGAGAAATGCAACTTTTGCTGGGAGTTGGTAAATATTTGTCCCACAACTTGATGAATGAAGGAATACTTAGTCGATACATTCTCACACAAGTCTTAAACTAGCGTGACTTACCCAGATTTGATCTTCACGAGCCCCAATTAAGCGTTGAATAATTATTGTGGCTGAAAATTCGAAAACTAGATTAGTCAAACTGATTGCTTCGTGATTATTACGAGAAGATTTTCACTTTTGAATGGACTGGAACGATCAACGACTGAAACCAGTCATATGAAGTCCCGGTCAATCCAATAGCCAGAACTGAACCATCATCCTCAAATATTCCTGAAAGTGATCCATCAGGGCTTTTAGCTCCCCCTCTCTTTAGGTTAGCTGTGACTTTTTCAACCTCATCAAGAGTCGGGTGCTTTTGTTGACATCCCATTTTAATGGCTTTGTAACAGTAGGCTACTGAAGAGTAACTGAAAAACAGTCAAGCTGTCCTTCTAAGCGTTTTACTCATTGTTACAATCTCCCGAACTTAGTGGATCACCGTCTCATCTCCTTTCTTAACAGTCTCACCAACTCCCGAAGTGTCAATGCCTGTTTTTTGTAGACATGTCTACTTTTTTTTCATTGCTTTTATTCTCACGATCATTACGTAGACTTCTTCAATATGTGTTTAAGTTTATTTTGCTCCTTATCGTATTCCGAGTTTGATGGGAAAATTTTTGGACCACCTATCAACTCTGTAGACACTAACAAAATGCACTGTTCTGACCACCTTAAGCAACAATACAACCATCTTTGGGATACGGTTTTCTCTCTACAGATGTAAAATGTTACTTCAGGATTGGGCTGCCTCATCGCCCGAATTAGTGATAGGGGTGAACCAGTTGAACACATTCACCGTTTCACTTACTTTGGTAGTCTCATCAGCACTGAGGGGCTGGTGTCTGACGAAATCTCGGCAAGGATTCAGAAGGCTCGATTGGCTTGCAGCGTAGGCGAGATATCCGTCTCCCAACCAAAAAGCAAGTTTACTGTGCAGCAGTTCACTTTGTTCTACTTTATGGATGTGAAACGTGACCATTAAGAGTAGAAGATATTCGTAGGTTACTGGTATTCGACCATAGGTGTCTACGAAGCATTGCTCGTGTATTTTGAGATCACAGAGTAATCAATCCCTGGGTTAGGGATAAAGTACTAGGTAAAGATAAGAAATTGACTTATGAGGTAGTAAATCCTCATCAACTGAAGTGGTTGAGGTATGTGTTGCGTATGCCCAACCATCACCTACCCCGACGGGCAGTTTTCTGATGTAGGAGTTGGTCGGAAGAAATCTAGGGGCGACCAAACAAAAACAGCATCAGCCCATGGAGACATTGACTATTGGACTGAATTATGGTAATAGTTATAGGATACCTGGTTGGGGTTCGCGTGATTATCATGACCAATTGTTAGAGACTTTAAATGACAGCTCAAAATCGTTTGCAATATCGCAAGTGCATACATTCTTTGTCTTCCTCCAAATTCTGAGATTCTAAACTCATAATTTTCCGTCTTTATTTCACTAGTTTATACTTTGTTTTTGAGTAGTATTTTCGTTGTTTAACCTTTCTTATCGCCACTGATACTGTTACTATCTCTACTATTGTTGGATTTGGCCCGACATCTCTTCGTGCTAAATGGGTATCGCAACTAGAATAAATGTACATGCATACAGGTTCTTATTTGTAACTGATTGAAATTCACTGATTTTTCATAACCTTTCATGTGATTTTTCATAGGTTGGTTTCCTACCGGAAAATTCATCGATTTTGTTTCGGTTCCTCAACACTGATGGTATCATTTTCTCATGATTTCTCCCTCTTTATGTTAATGTGGACTCTGACAAATGGTTCTTTTGTTTTTCTATTTCATAATTCAAATTTGCTTTATATTCCTTAAACAGAACTGTGTTATCGATTAGCCTATTTGGGAAAAATGACTTTCTAAAGGATTGCTGTTGAGTGATTTTAATTTCATCTTTTGATTATTCAATATTTATCTCGTAAAGGGCCTACATACACCATCAACTTATAAAGCAGTAATGCTGAGAATTCGCGATCACGAACAAGTCCACTTTATTATCCTAAAAGCGAATCGATAAGTTGTACATGTATTCGATTTACCTTTCTGATCAAGTGATGTGTACCTAGGAATGGCTTGTGTCACTTTAATTTTGCTTTTTTAAACTATTTTTTCCAGATAACTAAATTTTTTAATGCACAAACAATGAATCAGCTACCAATTTTTCATCACATCAGGTTTTGTTTACTCGGTCGCACAGGACAGTCGATCAGGTTTCGCTATGTTCCTGATCCGGGTACACTTGAACAGCGTTTATTTCGAGAGGTCACAAAGCCCGTTATACCACTTATTAATGTGCATCCAGTCGAACGGCGTCTGCTCAGACAAGAAGAAAATCGACTGCGTGTAAGCGATTACAAGTTTTTCTTATGACACTAAATTTAGAAACTTTGAGTTATGTACTTTTTCATCGGTGACTTGCAGAAAAATATTATTAATTCGTATGGTGGATGTACACTACGTCGCTTTTGGGAAGCTTAGTTAGCCTTTCTTTCTACTTACCTTCTTTATCTCTATGCAATAGTAAACGTTTGGGTTAGTCTTTAACCGTGTCTGTTGATAGTTGTTACTCATTTATTTAGTCCGAGATACACCACAAACTCGAAATCTAATTCCGAACAGCTAAGTTGTTTTAAATAGTCACGAATGATACCTCGAAATATTCTAGATTATTTCTACACTTAAGCAATCCTTATATAACGACGGGAAGCGACTGACTATTGTAATGTGTTCAAAGATGTATTTTTAACTAATATTTTAGTCACTGAATTTAAAATTACAATCCAGGGTTCAAATATCCCTTCTGATTTAGAATTGCTAGTTATATACCATTCATCATCAACATGATAAACAGCTGATACCTCTCACGACACGGTTTTTATGTTTCATGAACTGAAACATTTTACAATATTTATGGCATTCCTCTCTCCCTCTATGTGTGTGTTTGAGCATAACTCTGACATCCTAAGTGTTGTTCTTTAGGTTCCTCTATTATTCAATATGTAGTTTGATTTGAATTTGTATTTGTCTTTTATCTCCGGAGGATCGATATTTTCAATTTCATCGGTTTTCTTAACTGGAAATTTTCATCTTTAGTTTTTCATTATCACTGCAACTACTGTTATATCAACTCACATAATATGCATCTTGTTAGCTTCTCACTGGACTGATGTGTAATTACCGAGGTTGACGTATATTTCTGTCAGGTCCTATGTTGTTTATAAGCAACTAACAAATTGTTATTTCTGTTGATAGTTACACACCCGACAGTCGATATGTCATATATCCTTAGTTGCTCTTATTTATAAAGTTATCTGGGTTAATCTGACTAAAGACTTCTTCTCTTTTTTGATTCATATAAATGTAATAAATGCTTTCAAATATGGAGACCCTTTTCTGGATTATTTCTCACTCTTTTTTATATTTCTCACTTATAATTGGGGTAATTTGAATCAGCACATCATATTACAAAATTTTAACTTATTCGACGATCTGAATTGTAAATACCTACTTGGATTGTTCATCATATGTTACATTTTTCACTATCATATTTGTCATGTACATAAATAGAGACAAAGTGAAACCTAGCACAAATATTAATCGGTTCAAGTTATCACTTGTCACGTAATAAAACATAACTCTAAAAGTTATTTAAAGGAACCAAAGAAATATGGTAAATTAAATTATTCAGGGGATAAAACGTATTCGATAAAAAGATGTCCAACTAAATATGAGGTCTATTTGTGTATGCCGCACTGCTGTTACTTTGAAACCGGGTCATTACAGGTCTGCATTTCTTTTCTGAGGTTGTTTTGTGTTCATCTTCGAGGAAAACTATTTCTCCATACATACCTCGGATCAATCAAGACCTCATGGATTAATATCATGTGTCAGTCTCATCCAATCTTATCCATTGGATAACACAGGTCTGATTTTACATCCTTATTCAGTTGATCTCTTAATATTTTACTCCGAGTGTCTCAGCACTTATCAAAAATTTTTAACCGTTGGGTGTTTTCCACACTCAATGACCGCATTCCTTAGTTGTTAGATTGGACTACTGAACGATAAATTATTCGTTTTTAAGCACATTCACATATTCTGTCTTTATCACAAATAGTGTAATTTGACAAATTAAGCGATTTTGTTATTCACTAGCTTATTCGAAGCTGATAGAATTTTCAAATCACTCATAATCACTGGTCACATAATTTTTACAACTTACCAATTCTACAAACAGCTTGTAGTTTCCTGTCTGGGAATTTTAACACACCTTGCCAACATTTACTAGACATCGGTGATACTATTTGTTTACAGAGTAATATCTTGAGTACTTATTAATTTTCCTGTTATAAGTTGTATAGGACCATTAGCGTGAGAAGTCTGCGCAGTTGTTTGTTCTCAAATCAGGATAAAAATAATAGAGTTTTGGATTTAAGAGCCCTAGCATGAGTGTTTATCAGCGGTAGTTACTACCTCAAATCAACACAAGTTAAAATCAATGAGATGCACAACAAAATAGTCAAATTGAACGTAGTATCCACAGCTGTAGATTTAATATCCAGAACATGGTTTACAAGTAATGAATAAGTTTTAAAAAGGCTCTACTTAAATATTACTATTCAAAGAAGAGTTTATCTTAAAGTTTCATCTAAATCAAAATTCTCAGTGTTCGTTATGGCTGTTTACTTTTTTTCATTTTGGTGTTCTTCTAGAGGCGATACTTTCTCCTTTTAGGGTTTTAGGGATTGACCTCCTACCTATAAACCCATTTATCATGTATAGTAGTATTGTTTTATATTCTATATCAATATCTCTTGTTTTGTCATGTAATAATGAGGTTTGTTCCTAGTTCGTCTGATTCTACCAGTGATAGAATAATGACTTTAAAGTTTAAGGGATTTGACTTCTGATCATCAGGTTGTAGATTAGAATCCTGTCTTACTTATTTGTAATTAAACAGTCTTGAGTTGCATCGTTACTCCCTCCACACATTCGATATGCGATTTGAAGCTAAGCACATGGCCATATGATTGATCAATAGGTGACGTTAGTGAAATTGGTACACTTGCGTTCTCAATTCTAAGCACTTTTCAAATACTAATCTCAGTTTGTTATCATTGTCATTAAATTTACTTTTGTTTAGCAAGAAAATAATCCATACCGAAGATTTCTGATTGAGAAAGCTAAAGAGGATTTTTTGAAGCCTATGAATAATAATATGGTACTAGTTTTTCAACAGCTGTATCATAAAGCTCGTGAAATGGTGCCTGTAAAAAATAAATTACTTTTAAAGGATATGCACTTCAAAGGATTTCCATTATCTATTTTAAGGTGAGTTCTGTTTTTATTTATGTCTATAATTATTTTCCACTATTTATAATTGTCTGTTGGTTTTAACAAAGGGAATATAAAGAACTAGTCAATAAAAATTCATAGGGGTAAATTCTTAGTTAGCTTAATGTTTAACACTAATTATCTCATATCCCTGTTATTGAACTTATGTATCGTAATTAATGTTTAGCCAGTGTTTTCATTAATTTGCCACAACAGTTTAATATTGCAGTATATGTTCTTCTGGTGTTAGATGTTTACAAGAAATTTTAGTGGATATCGGATGTTGCTTTCATGTTCGTCAATATTCTCAATGGTGAGGCTACCTGTTTCTGTCATCTAGATATTTCAACAACTTATCTAATTTTGTTTGTTTTAATACATCATTATGGTTATTAATCGCACAACCTAATCCAGGTGCATTTCTGAAGTGTACAATCTTTCGCTGTAAAGGTTACAAAGGGCCTAATCAGAGATATCGTGGTTGCTGACAATATGCAGCGAAAAGAATGTACATTATTCAGATGTCGATTGACCGGACTGCTAACTTCCAACTTGCGATCACTCAATACTTATCGTCAGGATCGACGAAGGAGTAAGAAACGGAGATTTGTTGAAATACTTTGTGCTGAGAATCCTATATTGTACCAAAAATATAATATTGAATAAAGATAATAATAATAAAACAAGGAAATAAAAGTCTACACCCTTTTTGGATGTAAGCTGACAACGTTTACCACCAGTTAGTGTAGTTACAAAGCTTCAGCCTCAGTAAATAGATACATACTAGGGATATTAACCGGTTGTCAAATCTATATTGATTGAAAATGTTTTTGAAGTTGTGACCTAATATTTGAACATTAAAAAGTTTAAAATTTATTTATTTCTCTGCCTTACCTGACTATTCTAGTGTTATTGATTCAAGATTATTTGTCAAGTTGTTCTCGTGACTAACCAACCAATCAAACATTAAATATACTACCCTGCAGAATCCATGTGGTTTTCAGTTTCTATATATTCCTAACTGATACAACGCTTGTACGAACACATCCTTAATTGTTTCAGCTGGTGAATAAAATCATGTCTCATAGTTTAAGGTATTGATTCTTATCTTGATATAAACCTTGTTCCTTGTTATCATCTTGATACAGTTCATCAGTCGATTAGTACCATCTTAATATACTTATCAGTAGGTTGCAACACATTGCAAAGCTTAATAAATTAACATCAATAATCGTTTTTTTATCACTTACTCATTTTTTTTCTGGCTTTTTTATAGAGAAGCTTCTAAAGGAACTCGTTATGAAATGTTTACACGCTATATGCTTCATTCAAATATTCCTAATGCGTATCTGTTTTCTGAGCCTACTCCTGAAAAATGTCGTTATGCAATAAACATAACCAAAAAAGCTCATTTTCTCCTTTTGCTTGGTAGGTAAAAGAAAGTCTTGTCATTTAACTGATTAAATTTTATACTGCAATCAAGTAGTATAGATACTTATCTGTTGAGAGCCTCCACTTTGGTGTTGATTAGAGTTATGACAATGCTAACTAATGCCACTGTCGTGCTGAGTCTTACATTATTTTTATTCGTCTGTATTCTCATGTCATACACCCCAAACTTTGCGTTGATACTCACCTTCTGACTTCGATTTCTAAAAAAAGATGACGTTATTAGTCCTTTTATGAAACATTACTAAAAAAGTAAGTAATATAAAATAATAGTGGTCAAGTATTTATTAAAAAACATTCGGGGGAGTTATCGTTGCTATCACATTCAATTTTTTGTCTCAGGTGATTAGACAAAAATACTATGGAGCAATTCTCCACATCCAGAATTCTTTTTTATTTCTGAATTCTGCTTCCCGAGCAATCATAATTATTTAATTATCCTACTAATTGCTAGTATAGCGTAAGTGTCCTATATTTCACAGTACTACCCTATCCGTTTTTAAGGAAACCAAGGAATATGATTTATGGTAGTTGGTTGGATTTTGTATTTATAAGATGTTTTTAAATTGTTGTATATGATTTACCAGTTCTATAACTGCTACTGTTGTTGTAATAAACGAAGACTTGAGTGAGGTAAAGCAATTCTTATTATGCCAAATCACACACTGTATTTGTAAAATATGAAAACAATACATTAAATACACTATTTAGCCATCTTTCCTGAGTTGTCCCTTACAAACTCCATTCTTTCATCCATATTGTTATTCTGATTGCTTTCTGTTTTCTTTCTCTTCTCTTCATTTCCCTTTTCTGTCTGTCAGAATTCTACTTTCAATTACTGATACACACTACTTAAACCTGTCCGTACAAGAAGTACACACCACATTGTGATTAGCTGCACACAAATTTAATTTGTACTTCACGATATGGATTCAGTAGTATTTGTTTTATAAAAGCAGTAATGATACTACCTTTTAAATACTACAATTTGGATTGATCAGTATTGAAAATTAAGTTTATTTGCTTTAATTTACTTTTTCCTGAAGAAGCAGTCCATAAGCTAATAAACTAACCATATTGTTTGTTTCATTTAGAGTTACGTTGTTCACTAAAAGTAATATGAGTTGGCTGATAGTCAGTCATTGAACATACAAAATATCCATAACACTAAAGAGATATTCATTTAGTTAGAGTTTGTTTGGACATGTAATTTTTCTCAATAGTTCAGAGATGTAGTGATCCAACTTACCGGTTTGAGATGTGTTACGGTTGGAAAACACTGACGGTCATATTATAACAATTTATGTTACTTGAAAAGCTAGCAAAATTAATTTAAATGTGGTTAAGGTCAGTTTCTTCCACATCTATTAATAACTGTACGTAGTCCATCTTTTAGTTTCCTTATGGTTGTAATATTTCAAATTTTAAACAAAATTATAAAAATCTAAATCAATTCAACATCTTCATTTTTTGTATGCATTTTATTTTAGGCGGTATTGTTGATTATAGGATCATGACTGTACAACAACTGAATGAGTTTGCTGCATTGTCATCTCAAGGCTTAGATGGTGCACGTAGTCATTTGGTGATGTTATTAGAGCAAAATAGAGGCGAAAAAATTGTACAAGACTTAAACTATCATCAGTCTTTCATTGTTAATGGATTAAAAAACTTGTCTGATGAAATGAAAAATAGTAACGAGTCATCTTCATCTGATTCATGAGTTATGACTATTTCAAATTTTTAGTTAACCTTTTTGTAAATATTTCGAGTGGATATTGTTAATTATTGTAAATATAAACAACATTTTATGCATCAGTCATTTTTAATTCATATAATCTTATTCGCTTAAAACTTTGCTACTTTTTATTATCTTAAATAATTTATTAAAGCTGTTATATTCGGCAATATCCTTGTTAATCGATAAACTTAAAGTTGTGGTTTATTCGTTCAATCATTCAAATTTTAATCACTAAAACCCATAACGGTTTTGATAGGTCGATAGTATTGATGATCCTAACACAAAACACCTGGCTTTTTACGTTATTGGGTGGCTTAGTGGTTTAATCACTCGGTTTCCAACTATCCGATTTCATGTTCGAACTCTGCTCTTACGGTTTTTATTCGGCTAGTATTTAAAAATGTACTCAATCACGGCCTTACATTACTCGAGTTACGTAGTTACATTTGTACTTTGGATTTCTAAGTGGATGGACGCCTAATAATGAGCTTGTATGCACAATGTGAATGTGAATACACCTATTTTTTTAAAATTTTGTTTAAATTTCTTTTTTTATTATAGAGTAATACAGTTATACTTTATGACCTATTTTAGAACTAATTTCATTATTATCACTTTATCTATTGATTGATAACTAGTAGTGAAACATTAAACTTAAGTTTCACCCTGTGTTGAGCAATAGTAGATCGAATGCACTTGGATTTCATTGGTGTATGTGGTTATTAGTGTAATACTCATAACTTCACGTGACACAGTTTTATGTTTCTAACCTTTCAAGTACAGTTGGACTTTAGTATCGATAAACTTGATTCAAATATTGCTTATGCGACTCGTAACGGGAATCAAATATCCAATTCATTTCAATTTCTTGATCAGATATGTCAAATTATTTCAGTGTTAGATTTTATAATTATTTAGTTCTATTCACAACTTTTTGATTTAGCTTTTATTCTAGCCTAAAAAATACATCATAACGTGGGATTTTCCCAATCAAGAGTTTATTTTTAAGAATTCTATTTCAGTTTAGCTACCAAGTATGTTAATTATTTGTCACTCCAACTGCACAGTCTAGTTTTCTTACTTTAATTGAAGCATATCAAGACAAAATGGATCGCTACGTAGTTTTTATCCACAAGGTCCACATCTATCTCTGTCTGACCATCTGAATGTTAGTCTTGGCGTGTACGTAAAGGCTATAACTCATCATTGAATGTCCAAATAACTAAAAAGCGGTTTCGTCCGAATTCTCACTTACCATAAAGACTTGTCTCCAACTTTGAAGCAATTGAACTTTCACATGGGATTCGAACCCGTATCGTTCACTCCAAAACAAAAGGTAGTATTACCTACGACTGATCATAAATTTTACAAAACCTCGATCCATTGTCTCGCCGATAAATAGATACCAGGTCACTTATGCTAGTGGGTACATTGCAACATGCGCGATAGAATACAGTTAGCACTAGGGATCAGTTCATGCAAATATATGTTATATATCTTGATGTTTGTAAAATTAATCGCTATTCGTATGTTCCCGTCAAATGCACCTTGATTTAATTCTAGTTGGATATTCATTTACATTTACCAGGTTAATATATTCCAGTTACAATGAAAAGTGAAGTTTTACGATATAGCTTAAAAAATTCTAACCAGGAGGATTTGTTACATTTTGAATATTTTGTTTTTTCTTTGTTGAAAAGATTGTCTTTACATTTTAACAATAGATTTTTAAATAAAATAATGGTGTAATCGATTTGGATCTTCGTGTTGGATTGTAATAAAGTTTAGTTAAAATTATTCTTAATCTTTTGAAAATGTGATATATATATATATATCCCTGATGTAAGAGTTGTCTGATTGTGGCATACCATACCTTAACAAGCAGATCATGATGGACTATATTTTCTGAGTTAGTGAAAGTTAACAGAAATTCAACTTAAACGTTTGTTCGAACCAATCATTTGTGTGCATGGATACTTGTCGATTATGGGAGTTCCTATTATGTATAATACACAGTATTTTATATTTCACACCAACTTTTCGTGTCGTATTTTACATTCCAGTTACCGCGTTTGACACTCATCATCTGCTTTTACTGTAAACGCCAAAATTTCTGAATAAATTTTAATTGCATTCAATGTAAGTGTTTCGATTTTTGTCCTAGGATGCGAAAACTAACAAATTACACATGTATAGGGCTGTGGAGTCTCACTGAAATCATGAGTTGATCAATGTTAAATCATAATTGAAAACCTGGAAGCACTGGACGGTCTTGGGTTAGATTCCCGCGTGGGGAATTGTGAATGCGCACTGCTAAGAAGTCTCGTACTAGGACAAGACGGTCGTCTAGCGCTTTTAGGTTTTCAACGACGGTCCAATATTCATCGGTTTATGATTCTAGTGAAATAACACCTGCTTTAAAGTCCACGTTAAGTCATTGTAGTTCTAATATTAATATGTTACTTGTGTGTCCACCATTATAATCAAAAAGTACATAATGTCATAAGTGACTTAATCTTGTTATCTTATTGTTATCCGTTTCTAGTCTTAACAGTACGTCATCAGTTTGCTTTAAGGTCATAGTTTTAGAGATTCTAATGATTTAAAGATTGATATATCGTGAAAAATCACACTCACTAAATGTCATACATCATTATGCTTATACTCTGAAGTACTAATCTGTGTTTTTGCTAGCTTTTCGTATCTCACCTTAATGAAAAGTAGACACTTAACTACATTATTTCAAAATAATATACTATATTAAAATTTCATAGCTTTTAGATGGACATAGTCTTCATTTTACTATTCAACTGGCTATATGCACTTATTTAAAAATTAACAAAAGTTTAAATCTTCATGTGTAAGATATTTGATTATTCATTGTCTCATATAATTGTTAGTATTTTAATTTCCTTACTCTAGTAAAGCAACTTTTCAAATATAGAAAAAAGAAATATCGTAAATGAATTTTATTTTCATGAATATACCAAAATGTATGCCCCATTTAATTATGTCATATAAACAAAAGTGTAACGCTGTTTATCATCTGCTGACCACTTCTTCCCTATTATTATTATCACCATCACCGTTATCATCGAAGTCTGATGAAATGAACAAATCAAATGGTTATAAAACACTAATGAAATCGTCATCAGTTCGATTTCGATTAGGTAATCTACCAACACATGTACAACAATATTTTAATCTTACTCCCGATAATTCATCAGAATTTATTACTGTATTATCAAGTGATGTACAAAAGCTGATTAAGAAAACTCATTGTTCAGTTAACGTTGTAAGTTTTGAAATACTTTTATTTACTTTATGTATCATACTAATAATTTTCCTGTTCACTTTTTATAACGTGGGAATAATTAATATAATCCTATATGGACCTCAACTCCTCTGTAGCTCTTCTAGGGCTACCGCCGGTCCAAAGCCCTGGTAAACGAGTAGGGTTGGGCATCGGGTCAGCAACCCCATCCCATAAAAAACAACTTCGTTAAAAAGCATTGACCAGGATGGACAATTAAAACCATTTAAACTCTGCCCTCACAGTTGAAGGAAGAATAATGACGCTTCATGATGATAGCCGAGATTCTTCGGAAGTCACCATTTTGATATACCTTCTAACAACAATAAATATAGATACATGAAATGACCGGACAATGTGGGAGACCGGGAGAACCAATCTAATGGTTACGGAAATGAGAAGATTCAACTTGATGGTGCTCGAAATCAGTGAAACCCATTGGATCCAAGCTGGACAGAAAAGGATAGATTCCAGAGAGATGCAGCCGTACTCTGGTCACGAGGAACAAAATGCTCCGCACATTCAGGGAGTTGTGCTGATGCTGTCAAAAGAAGTACGAACTACACTTATGGGATGAGAATTTCATGTATCCAGAATCATCATAGCCTCCTTCGAAACAAAGACGGAGGGAATCACAATGAATGTTATCCAATGTTATGCAACAAACAATAATGGTAATGACGACAATAAAGACCAGATTCAAAAGAGATTGCAATCAACATGGAGAAGTGCTCAGGAAAGGATCTGACAATCCTGATGGGAGACCTGAACGCCAAAGTCGGAATGGACAACACCGGATATGAAGATATCATGGGACGACATGGATTGTCTGGGAGAAGGGAACGAGAATGGTAACAGATTTGCAAATTTGTGTGCGTTCAACAAAATGATTATAGGTGGAACGATATTCGCGCACAAACGCATACACAAAGCTAGATGGATCTCATCAGATCACATTACAGAGAATCAGATTGATCGTATCTGCATCATTAAAAAATTCAGAAGGTCGATGGAAGGCATGAGAACCAGAAGTAGAGGTGACATAGCTTCAGATCACCACCAGCTGGTGGTTGCCAAGATGAAGCTGAAGCTAAAGAAACACTGGACAACTGGAGAAACAGCATTACGAAGGTCCAATACAACCTTCCTTCGAGATACTGACAAACTCAAGGAATTCAAGATAGCTCTCAACAACAGATTCAACGCCACAAGATCTGCTCAGAGAAGAAGCAAGACCGGTCAAAGACAAAGAAGGCAAGACAGTTACTGAGATCCAAGGACAGATAGGTAGAATACGTCGAGGAACTGCTGAATAGACCAGCTCAATTAAATCTACCGGACATTGAAGTAGCGCCTACAGACCTTCCTATAGATGTCACTCCACCAATGATCGAAGAAATTAGGATAGGGAAAAGGAAGATCCTCAGACACAACACGGAGAATTTCAACCCAATAACACTTGATGAAAAAGTTCTGGAAGATTTTGAATCTTTCACATACCTTAACAACATCATCGATGAACGAAAAGGTTTGGATAATTAACTAAATCTAATTCAAATAACAACCCAATAAGAACAGGTTTATTTACTCGTCTATTGGTACTATATTAAGTCGAGTGAAATTAGAATCAAATGAGGAAATTGTCCATTTCCTACATTTTTGTATAACACAATCGACACAGAGTTCTTGGTTTTATGGTGTTTACTGAAATGATGGAAAGGTCATTTGATTTTTAAGCTCATTATATTGAAATTTTGTCATCTCTGCACACCATGTTCTTTTGTAACTATGACTTCATGAACAGTGTGGGATAGGGTAAATTGTGAATATCTTTTAAGCATTCAACTGACAGTTTCTAAACATGAAATTGAAGGGGTAAAGGGAAAAAGTTGAAGATTCCAAACCAGCCCTGGTTTCAGAAACGATTCAGTCCCACGGAGCCCTGATCAGTTTTACACACTTGTGAGGAACTCTAACAGTTCATAGCCTTCAACACTTCTGGACTTGGAGGTCGATGTAGCTTTAGAAAACGTCAGTAAAATTCACTTTAGTTCAGTATTACCACAATAATAAACTATGATTAAACCTTATTACACTGAATGTCTTTCAGATAACGGTCGAATTTAGCCTTAAGTAAATTCCACTAAACTTATATTAGATATTTTTATTTGCGGTAAATGAAACGAAACACATACAACCATGTTCAAGGTTTCATCATCAATTTCATGTTTTTTTTTACATATTTATAGATTAATGATAATTTACAACCTCCATTACTTCAACTGATTTGTAAAGGTGATACATCAAATCCCAACAAGTCGTTATGTAAATATGGGATTAATTTACCTGGGAAAACTCGAGTAAAAGTGATTGAGTTTAATTCTAATATAGACGATAATATGTGTAGAGTCCGAGTAAAACAGGCAGAAGCTTTTTTACAAGCTGATCATTTTGTAGTCATAATTATTAATTTGAAACATCTGAAGAAATTATTATCTAAGAAAAATGTACAGTCTACGGCTACGAAGGCGGATGGCGATGAACAGCAGTTGCAAAATTTGGGGAAGGTGCGTGAGTGCAACCTAAGTTTATCTATTTAGATTTATTTAATTTCCTTGTATTCAATATATTGGTCGTTGTTCATCACATACCTACTTAATTGTCATGTATTATTATTTAGGTCAAGAATTTTTATTCAGGATCAGGAAACAACACCACCTATTTTATTACTTGTTAAAATATTTATGTGCATATCCCAATAATAAAACAGTTAGTCGCTGTTCCAATCGCTCACCCTTTATGTCTGGATCAATATCACTGAACGATGAAAAAGGAACATGGGATTTCACTTAGCTTAATGTACGCTACATTGACGAAAATACCAGAGATCACAAAATCTGTGACAGGGATTCTTATCGACCGATTTAATGATAGGAAACGTAATTATGAAGTCGAATTTCCAATCAAATGGTTAATATTCTTTGTAAGTATTACACCATGAGTTGACTCGATTATTTCGAATAAATAATACATTTTAATGCGTCCTAGTACGACATATCATACAATTGGCTCGTAGGAATAGGATTTCAATTTCCACAGCTGATGCTCAATTAATCATTAGTTTAGAGATTATTTCTCTACACAACATTTAAAAATTGTTCACTGACACATCTGTTTGTCTCAGCCATAACAATTACAATTTCTGTGTGAAATACTAAGGCGTGCAAATTTCGACGAAATCAAAGCTTCGGTCATCTTTTGATCATATTACGAAATCTTATTCTCCGCTTCACTGCTCTTATGTTTTGTCACAGTCTTCCTGGTTTTGTTCACCTTTCGACGAATAATATTGATTTGAAAGCAGTTTCAGAAATATCTGAAGCTACACAAGAAGTAATTCACACATTTACAAAAGGTAAAAGAAATTCACATATGTAGATTTTCAGTACCATCTGAACTTTTGTCATTATGCGACCGCTTTCTGTTTGCAATTAAGTTCAAAGAATAATTAATTGATCACAAGTTATTACTAATCTGGTTGTTCACATTTTCCCAAATAACTTGATGAATAGGGACATTAAACATATTACTGAGAACATTTTGAATGCTATCGCTTACTTTTAGAATTAGTCAATCTATACATTGATCCTTATACATGCCCACAAATATATATAATTGATTTGAACACACAAATATTGTAACAAGGGGGCACCAGATATATATGCGCCACACAAAAATTGTCATTACATTTGATTGTGTGAGGGCTATGGTACTGCCCAGACCGAAGTAGGTAGTTATTTTAAGGGGCCACACCCGGATCCTTCTACCTAAAGGTGTGATTCACAAGGTAGTGGAGCATCGTGAGGAGATGCAGTCCCATGGTAGCCGATGACCATTTAAACTCTGTCCTGGGAGGCAGAAGGACTTCATTTAGAAGAGTTATGACACCTCATCGTGAAAGCCGAATTCCTTCGGAAGTCACAAGGCTAATGCCCCTCCTGACAACTAGAGAAATCATCTATCTAGGTACATGGAATATTCGTATAATGTGGGAGACCGGTAGAACCGTCCAAATTGCCGCAGAAATGAAAAGATACAACCTGGAGTTGCTTGAAATCAGTGAAACACATAGGACGCAAGTTGGACAAGAAAGACTAGCTCCAGCGCAGCTGCTGTTATGAAGAAAAGTCTCCACATCACAAGTCGTTGCACTGATACTATCTAAACAAACACAAAAGGCATCTAAAGAATTGGAATCTCATGGACTCAGGATCATCAAAGCCTCCTTCAAAACAAAGAAAGAGGGCATTACAGTGAACATCATCCAATGCTATGCCACCAACGATTACAATGAAGACATTAAAGATCAATTCTACGACAGGCTGCAGTCAATCGTCGAGAAGTGCCCAGCAGTAGGTCTCAGGCCTTTCATGATCTACTCAGTGGGGGGTGAACCACCACGGGGAACAACTGGAAAGGGATGAAGGAGACAATCACTTCAACATATCAGGAGGTTCTGTGCCATGGGAAGCACCACCACAAGGAATAAACCAATGTTGATACATTCTATAAGATTGAAGAAAAGAAGAACAAGAAGGCAGCAATCGATACCAGCCGAACAAGAACAGAGAAAGCCAAGGCACAAGCTGAATACACAGAAGTAAAAAAGCAAGTGAAGAGGAGCATCAGAGTCGACAAACGTAAATATGTAGAACATTTAGCAATGACGGCGGAAAAGACTGCAAGAGAAGGAAACGTGAGATAATTGTATAATACAACAAAGAAGCTCTCTGGAAATTATTGTAGACCAGAACAACCAGTGAAAAACAAGGAAGGCAAAGTAATTACCAACATTGAGTAACAGAGAAACAGATCGGTTAGGTATGAAGAACAAGTTCCAACAGACTAGAAAATAGGGACACCTGATCAAGTTACCGAACAAAGACGATCTCAGCAGATGTGAGAATTCTAGAGGCATCAGTCTTCTCTCCATACCAGGAAAAGTCTTCAACAGGGTATTGTGAAACAGAATAAGGGACTCCGAAGACGTCCAACTTCGAGACCAACAGACTGGATTCCGTAAGGATCGATGGTGTAAAGACCGAATCGCAACATTACGGATGATTGTGGAGCAATCAATTGAATGGTATTCACCACTCTACTTTTAATTCATTGACTACAAGGAAACATTTGGTAGAGTGGATAGGACGACACTATGGCGTGCCTGAGAGGATAGTCAATATCATAAGGAATTCCTATGATTTATTAAACTGCAAAATCGTGCATGGGGGACAACTTACTGATTCGTTCGATGTAAAGACCGGTGTCAGGCAGGGTTGCTTATTCTCACCCTTTCTCTTTCTCCTGGTGATCGACTGGATTATAAAGACGTCAATGTCTGGGGGCAGTACGGAATACAATGGACAGCTAAGATGCAGCTGGACGATCTAGACTTCGCGAATGATCTGGCTCTTCTATCACACACATAACAACATGCAGGAGAAGACGACCAGTGTAGTAGCAGTAAATCTCAACATACACAAAGGGAAAAGCAAGATTATCCGATACAACACAACATGCAATAATCCAATCACACTTGACGGAGAAGCTTTGGAGGATGTGGAAACCTTCACATATCTGGGTAGCATCGTTGATGAACACAGTGGATCTGATGCAGATGTGAAGGCGCGGATTGGCAAAGCGAAAGTAGCATACGTACAACCGAAAAACATCTGGAACTCAAAACAATTGTCAACCAACACCAAGATCAAAATTTTCAATTCAAATGTCAAGACAATTCTACCGTATGGGGCGAAAACTTGGTGAACTACAAAAGAAAACACCCAACTGCATCACAAGGCAAGCCCTCACTTGGAGTCTTCAAGGCCAGAAGGAGAAGAGGATGACCAACTAATACATTACGTTGAGAAATGGTGACAGACATGAGAAGAATGAACAACAATTGGTTAGAACTGGAAAGGAAAACCCAAGACAGTGGGTTGCAGGATGCTGGTCGGCAGCCTATGCTCCATTGGAGGTAACGGGCGTAAGTAAGTAAGTAGTTTATAATCTTATGTCTTTATTTAGCAATCATTTTTATTCCAGTGCTTACGCTTATTTTGCCTTCTCATCTTTCTAAAAAATTCTCAGGTGGAATACGAGAAAAATGTCACGAAGTACACTAAAATATTTGAAGGAATACCTCATTGTAAAGTACACAATATTAATCGACACAGTGTGTTTAGTGTTGCTCTGACTTTAGAACGTACAAAAATAAATTAGAGCAATAATTATTACCAGTTTTTTTTTCTTTTTGATCAGAATCATTGTACTTTCTGTTGAAGAATCCATTTTTTGGGATAATCAAAAACACTAGTGTGGTGTTTGTATGAACTAATGATTCCTTTGTACTAGGTGTCTACCTGATTTTGAATTCCAAATGCAATACGTATGTTTGTGCTTACCTAGTTCTACCTGACTCAAACTGTGTTATTTCGGGGATTCCTACTTCGTGTGATAATTCTAATACTTCTAATTTTTAGTTAGCGAAACAGTTCTGTCAATACTGGGTTTAAAAATCTGAAAAGGCTTAAAGTGGAATTGGGTCTACTAGTTTCTACAGAAAATTCTGATGCTTTACCTAAATATTTAATAGCTGTGTGTGCTAAGTGTAGTGGAAGTATGAAAATTCGGCTTATAAATCTTCAAGTACAGGGTGATCCAGTCTTTTTTAAATGACGAGTAATTACTTATGGTCTTCAAGAAGCTGTATATAAGACATTAAACGATGTGTGTGCGAAACGTATAATTGAGCCGATTCAGTCTTCAGCATGGGGTACTCCTGTACAGATAACCCCAACTGTTGCTGGTATCATATTTAGTGCGGAGAATCTTCTCGAAGTTACAGAAAACCCTGCAATTGGCTAGTTCCAATCCATTCGACGCGATTAACGTTTCAGAAAACTTCTCAGCCAGTGCGCGTTAACGGCAACCATAGCCGGCGAATATAGTCGTCTGTTATACACCACTGATGTGATTATAGAAATTCACTACTCTCAGAATTAAGCGTTCTTCCAGATCATTTAACGACCGACTGCACGAACAAGTTTTAAACTCACAGTCGGTAAATGGGGAACTGACCGTCACATATGTTAAGCGATATGTGTACCTTAACGTGAATTTATGCGAACCCATCTTTTGGATCTTCGTTGTTGCAGGTGTTTCTAAGTCAATCATTTGTATAGATTTTCAACAAAACCACAATTTACTCATCGACTAGCCCAAGCAGGGGTTAATGGACGGAAATACTAATCTGTATGTTTGTATAACTACATTTTCCGGTCATAGTATATCTCCAGTCACAGTGAGGCACACGGTCTATCGATACTACCGACAAATACTCGATACATAACCTGAGATATACCAGATGCAACTGAAATTGTCATGTGTGGCCAACAATCTTATATATCACATCACGACTACAGGATTACCTGTATTCTTAAAAGTGCACCGACTAGCTCCTGAAAAGCTGAGGTAGGCTTAATAGAATTCAATAACACGATACACACAGGAATTATTCAGTCATCAAATAGCTCATGAGCATCCCCCTTGCACATGGTCCCCGAGAAAGATAGCAGCAATTGCGTCCGACCGATGAATATCGTTGACTAAATGAGGAAAACATTCCTGATCGATACCTATCGCCTCACACTCACGATATGCCAGCTACCTTGAAAAGTGCCACTGTTTTTTTCGAAAATCGACTTGGATAAAGCATAAAATCTGGTTTCCATGACTTCTGGACAAACTTTCCAGTGATTCATTGACGATAATTTCACAGTCTCAACTTCGTACATGGGTATGTTGGTGACTGCTTCATTGCAATTACTGACAGAAAATCTCATCTTCAGCATCTGGACCTTGTTTTCGAAATGTTGTAAATAAATACTGTAAACATTCAGATATGTCAAATGGGCACCAACTCTTTAGATTTTCTCGGACTCACTACTGATGATCAAGGCATCCACCCTATGAAATGCAAAGTGCTGGCTATTATGGATTACATGGAACCGACCACAGTTAACCAATTGCGCACGTTTAACAGACCAGTAAGCCTCTATGGACGGTTCATACTTAAATGCGCGTCCCTTAAGAAACCGTTAACCGACCAACATCGTGAAAATGCGAAATCCATCAATTTTGACCACACCGCGCGTAAAGCATTCTCCACAATTAAGGAGCTCATCGTAAAGGCAACCCTGCTCGCGCATCAGGACGCTCAAGCACCCATTAGTATCGCAGTAGACGCATCCGACTCAGCAATATTAGGAATCTTACAACAATGTGGTCCAGTCCTAGAAACCTTCGACACTTTTCTCCAGACGGTTGGTAGACACTTAATCGAGGTACAGCACTTTCTCCAGGGAACTCCTAGCTATGTATTGTGTTGTACGGCACATCCAACTAGCTATTGAAGACCGATAATTTACTCTTTTCACTGATCACAAACCTCTTCCCTTTCCTTTAAGCTCGTCTGCGGAAAAGTGCTTCTCTCAGAAGTCTTGACTACTGGACTACATTTCGCAGTTTACTTCAGATATACAACACATTTCTTGAGCAAACAATGTAGTTGCGGACGCCTTGTCTCGTATAACTTCCTTGAGCAGATTCTAAGAAATCAAGATTATTGAACTCGCTCAGTTTCAAAAAGAAGACACTAATCTTCAGCATGAGTTATCCTCCATAACCTTTAAACTGTGTAATAAACAGATTGGAACAGATAAGGTAACCTTACAATGTGATACATCTACTGGTCGGGATCGCCCAATCATGCCGAAACCTTGTCGACGCAACGTCTTCAATACGTTGCATAAACTCTCTCACCCAGGTGTTCGTGCATCCATCGAGCTTATAGCAGAACGATTTTGCTGGCCTGGTATGAATGAAGACGTGATGGAGTGGGCACGCTCCTGTGTAAGCTGCCAGAAATCTGAGGTCATTAGACACGAAAAATATCCCTTAGGCTGGTTCAAAACTCCAGATGTTCATATCGACCACGTTTATCTGGATTTGGTGTGACTATTACGAAATTCGTCTCACAGTGGCAGACACTCTTCCACTTGTCTTACTAGGTATTCGCATTGCAGTGAAAGCTGACACTGAATACCTTGCAGCTGAACTCGTTTACGGAAGGACACTTCCAGGAGAATTTGTAGACCCTTCATCTTCTTCAATGAATGTGGATCTAAATTCCTACACGAGCAAGCTTGCTAACGCAATATTTCCAGTCAAACCTACCTCCACCCTATCACAATCTACTGAGGTTTTCTTTCAGCTTGACTTACGATATAGTAAACGCGGTTTTGGACGTTGCGACTTACTTCGACGACCTCTTGAAACGGCATACAAACGACCGTTCATAGTTCTTCAGCGTGGACATAATTTCTGTCATACATAAGAATGGAACGAATGATAGCATCAGCATCGACCGAGTCGAGCGCTGCGTATTTAGATGGAAACCCTACTCACGTCGATTTTTCTTGCGGTAATTGGAAGATACAAGTCTCGCAATCACGACGACACTATGGTGGTATTTGACAGATGGCCTGAGATAACACTTTCTGGAAGAAGTGTAGGGTTCCCAGAACACTTAAGCGATTACTGCACATAAGACACAATATAACATTTTCTTTAGACTCGATGTTTCTTTGTATTATGTCAAAAAACTTTTGCATACGTTTTTATACTTATAAATGTTCCAAAAAAGCAATATTTTTTTCATTTGCTAATGTGCTCGCTTATATATGTATATTTTTATTATTTAAAAAATCTTCAAAAAACCATCCTGTAAAAATCGCTTTTACGTTAATACTTGTTTACGAAACGTATGTGTATGAGTTTATTTTCTTTTTTCCCTCTTTTTGTGCTTTCACATACGTACAAGTGTTAATTGATATACAATCATATACCCTTTTTTTCCAGTACGCATGGAGAAAATGAAAAAACGACGAAGTTTACGATGAATCGAAATTTTCATTGTATTCGTTTTCTATTACTATATAGTGTCACATGGTTTCTCATAGTAAGAAAAGACGTGTAGGCGTTGCTGAACATAGCAAGCTATCACAATGTTGTTTGCCTACTACAAACTCGTCAGGTTTAAACTTCTGTCTGGCCACGTCATACTGTCATCAGTACTCCCTCACGGAGGAGTGATCTATAGAGGTTAATAAGTGGCTCCGTAAGTCCTCGACATTTGATGTTGACCATATCGGTTTTAATGTACTCACCTAGTTGAAGGCGCATGGTCATGCATCCCCACCAGATCACGAGTACGAATGCCGTGTTTCACATTTCCTGTAACCGCTAGCTAGGTTAGATCAGTCGCTTCTATCGAATATATCTCCGAATCTCGTCACTCCTGACTTTTGATTTCATTGGGTTGACACGTCTCGATTATGGGTGTTACTGATTAAGGTGTTGTCAAACTTCAAATACATGTGGCATCTTTAGATCAATACAATTGTGTCACATTACAGTTAACTAAAAATTCACCCAGTTAGTGAATAATAACTATGTCAAACCACTATGAAAATTGACGTGAGTCGGCAATAAAGAGGTCCAAAATACTCGATAACATATAACATGTGGGAAAGAACCAATAGCTCAAATTATTCATCATGTCTATGCAGGTTACTAAGTTTTCAAGTTCCGTTATCCCCTCTTCCAGTCCTGGAAATCAATTGTCTGGCAGACTGAAGACATGTGAAGTTTAACTACATATCAAGGTGGTGTGGCGCACTAATCAGTCTTAAAGTTCTCGATGCGCTCGGGATGGTTTTGACTGCGGTCTAAGTAAGCCAGGTAATACTTTACAATTTAAAGATTATTTATTGGTCAGGTGATACATGTGATTAAGTAGTTGCAAGATATGAAACTTTCATACTGTTTGCGTATGATCGATGCGTTTATTTCGGTCGCATCCCTAATCATCTAATCGAGTTACACAATATATATTTAACAATTTAGGTTAATGAACTACTTTCAAGATAGTCCGAAAATTCTCGGGTCTCAAAGCATGTCTAGTACACCAATTAAACTTTTACATGACTCAAAAACTTATCAAGGTCAGATATAGGTTCAAAAGTTCTAAAATCATGGTGCATCCGGCACAGGAACTCATCCCTGTGGCTCCATAGTAGTCGACCTCTGGAACCATGATAAAGTCCCGAAAACTTTTTCAGCCTCCACCACATAGTTTTAGTGTGGTCGGTATGTTGGTATGGTTTAGGATTAGGGTTAAGGTTTAGGTTTAGGGTTAAAGATGAAACTATAAATTATGGACGAAATTTGAGCGACGCTAGAGTGAATCTGAGAGTGTCAACGTAATAACTAAGACTAAATGAGGGTTATAAACCCGTGTGGAGAATTCAAATTATGATTTACAGTTCATGGTTAAGGTTAGGAATTATACTTAGGGTTTTCATCACGAACTGACATCAGCTATTGTGCCACAACTCTATCCAAATGTATAATTGAATTTTGCGCCAAAATCTTACGACAACTTATATTGTAAACCCTTAATTATAACGTTTTCTCTAAAATCCGTTGCAAACCGACCGTACGTAAGCGTCATGTACCGAACTTAGCGCCGTGACCTTGAAAACCCGCGAAAGCTTCTGATTGGCTCGTCCATGTTCTTTAGTCTCATCGACATCGACTGGTCGAATAGTCAATTTCATCTACTTGAAGTTTATTACAAATCTTTGAGTTGAAAAAAAACCACGAATCAGTTTGCAAATGTAGGGCCTTTCTGGATTGGCGTTAGTACTTAAAGCTGGTACTACTAATCGTTGCTCTTTTAGAGAGATCGTCACTCCACTTTGTGTGATAATTGCCCTTTCTTCTGTCACTTATTGGACTTATTTTATTTTAGTAATTTGAAGAGCAATTATATATCACTATCAACAGTTCTGTTGAGAAAAACTTCAATCAAGAGAACATTGTGTTTTGCTATATTGACCGGTTAATCGGACACTTTATTTATATGAGAGCGAATATAAACGAAACAGGGTAGCGTTCGATGAGTTTCACTATGCACCATAAACCGTGTAGTGAGATCACATGGCTTCGTGTTTGAGTTACTGCAAAACAGTGGCATTTCACTATAAGCTCCATTCTCATCATAGTCAGCTGCAACACAGGACCAGGCACAAATATGTATCGGCCCAAGTTGCCATGCCTCGTTAGCACAACAAAATCAACACCGAATTCATAGAAGTAATTAATTTACTGGTGGTAGTATATAAAGAAAGGTTGCATATAAGGATATAGTATAGGAAGAAAGAAAGTTTTGAAGCAATTTTAATCTCAAGGTTTAAGGGAAGATAAAGAGTGTATACACCTACGCCATTGTGATCGATTCTGAGCCATGTCACCTAGAGTCTCCAACCATTGATTACAATAGTCACGTGGACCCCAAACAGGTAGTCTGCATCTACCAGCATGGCTCAGACTAAAAGTTAGTAGCTTCAAGCACTGATGCCACGTTTTGGTTTGGCCACCCCTCTCTTTCAACCATCCCCAATACTAGTCAGCATAGCGCACCTTGGTAATCGGTGTTCAGGCATACGTAACAACACGTGGCTTAACCATCTCAGTCGATGAAGCTTCATCACCTCATCAACTGATTTACCATCATTCCCTAATACCCTTTGTCTAACCTCACTACTACTTACCCGGTGATCCCAGCAGATACGAGCAATATTTCTAAGACATCTGTGGTCAAATACTAGTAACTTACGAGTATCTTCTACTCTTAATGGTCACGTTTCGCAGCTGTAAAGTAGAGCAGAGCAAACTGTTGCGCAGTATACTTGTCCCTTAGTTGATAGACGGATATCTCGCCTTCGCCATAGGTGACGCAAATCAGCAAAAGTCAAACGAGCTATCTGGATCCGTGCAGAGATTTCGTTATTATTATTATTATTATTATTATTATTATTATTATTATTTGAACACATAAATATTGGTACAAGGAAGCACCAGATAAATATGCGACTCACAAATCTCATTCGATTTGTGTGAGGGCTGTGATACTGCCCAGGTGCCCAGACTGAAGCAGGTGGTTTTCTTAGGGGGCCACACCCGGAGCCTTTGACCTAAAGATCTGATCCACAAGGCAGTGGAGCATCGTGAGAAGATGCAGTCCCATGGTAGCCGTTGACCAACAGTTGGTTCATTCGCCATTTGTTCCTTCAGGATCCTGGAGCCCATGTGCACCATTGGTTTGGAATCAGGGTTTTCCAACTCCCCTAGGTGGACCTTCCGTGTCCACCAACCCGGTTAAAGCGCCGGACATTCGCTTTTCGTCCTCTCATTTTTGTGAACAACACCCCGGCCACGAGAAGGCAGTGAGTAGGACTTCCCTGACAGAGGCTATATATTCGCGTGGCCATGTGAGAGCATTTGGAGAGGGAGAGCGGACTCTCCCCACTCTCGGCCGTACCAACCTAGTAGAGCTGGTTAGACTTCCAAGATGAGTGAAGTTTTCGACGCGTTCGACTACTTCACTTCCTATCCTTAGTCCAGGTGTTGACGCAGGCCAGTCCTGGAGCAACAACTTGCATTTAGAGGGGGAGAAACATATCCCAAACATCCTGGCATTGTTACTCAGTGCTAACAGAAGATTCTGCATTTTATCAGCGTCTTCACCATACAGGACTATGTCATTTGCGTTTTATTTATTTATTTATTTATTTAAACACATATATATTGGTACAAAAGGGCACCAGGTACATATGCGCCACACAAAATAATGAAAGTAGGAAGAGAAGGGATGAAAAGATAAGGCGGACTAAAATGTACAACCAGAAGACTCTTTCAAATAGGAAAGTAAGAACCATTCTTTATGTAGAAAGTAAAAGAAGGTTGCAGCAGGATCGCCACTGGCTTCTATTCTGAGCCATATCTGATAACGTCTCTAGCCACTGTGTTGCACCATCTCTCGGACCCCAACCAAGGAGTCGTGTAGGACCAACAGAAGCTAGCCCTTTGCAGCTCTCTTTCATGCCACGACACCATGTCATACACTGACCTCCTCTTCGCTTTTTCCAAACAGTCCCAGAGTCGGCAAATAATGCGCGACGTGGAAGTCTCTGGGACGACATTCGTAAAACGTGTCCAAGCCACCGAAGTCGGTGTTTCAAGATGGTGACACCAATTGAATTATCGTCTTTGTGCCGGAACACACGATGCCGAACCTCTGCATTACTAACATGGTGTTGCCACTGTATGTCAGCAATCCTTCGGAGACAACGATGATCGAACACGGAGAGATGTCTAACATCCTCAACTCGGAGAGGCCAGGTTTCACAAGCATACAGCAAAACTGCTCTCACCGACGCGTTGTAGATCCGACCTTTTACAGCCAGACTAACATCACGAAGGCGCCAAAGATGGCCCAGATTGGCATAAGCCGCTCTGGCTTTCCTTATACGTGCATCAATCTCATCACTCACGCCACCACCAGCACTTATATAGCTACCTAGATACACGAACTTCTCAACTACTTCAATCTGCTCACCATCCAGGGTGAGTACAGGATTAGAATCCTGCCAGTCTTGTAGAAGTACTTTGCACTTGGAGGGTGCAAAGCACATGCCGTACCTGCGGACACTGATTGCCAACTGATTAAGTGCTGATTGCATGCCTTGGGCATTATCGCACAGTAAGACAATATCATCCGCATACTCAAGGCCGAGAAGTCGTTCTCCAGGCAACATATCCACACCGCCATTACTTACATCCACCAGAGCTGTTTCTAGGATGTCGTCGATGGCAAAGTTGAAGAGGAATGGTGAGATCGGGCAACCCTGCCTAACCCCACTGCTCGAATGGAACAAGGGAGAAAGGTGGTTGTATGCCCTCACTCTGCCTGAGGTGTTCGTGTACAGGGCCTTTAAGATGTTAATGAACTTCTCAGGCACACCCTTCTTCAATAGACAATCCCAGAGAACAGTCCTGTCCAACGAATCGAAGGCCGCCCTGATATCAAGAAACACTACGATTGTTGGCCTGCGATAAGTATGACGGTGTTCTAACATTTGGCGGAGGGTGAAGATGTGATCAATGCATCCTCGACCAGAACGAAAACCAGCCTGCTCCTCGCGAGTCAATCGTTTTCGGGTTTTAAACAACCTACGAAGAATGATAGAAGCCAATAGTTTGGACGCAATCGGAAGTAGACTTATCCCCCGATAGTTATTGCAGGAACAACGCGAACCCTTTTTAAAGACAGGGACCACTATCGACTCATTCCATGATGTTGGAACACTTTCTTGTTCCCAAACCTTTCCAAACAACACAGTCAATTCCTTAGTCAGAATGTCACCACCATCTTTAAAAAGAGCCGGAGGTAAGTCATCTGGGCCCGGTGATTTGTAACGTTTCAACAGTTGGAGTTCCTTGCGGACTTCCGCCTCGTTTGGCGGATCAGTCGTCACCGGCCATGGGGGGCAGGACAAGCTGGTTGATGTTGCCGGAGCAGCAGGCCGGTTGAACTGCCCTTCGAAGAATTCCGCCCATCGTCCGAGACGTCGAGAGATGTTAGTGATTGGCATCCCGTCATTCTCGTAGATTGTTTCACTCACACCAGACTTCTTGCTGCCAGTGGCTCGGATGAGTTGGAAGAGCTTCCGGCAGTTACCAGATGCAGCTGCTGCTTCCATCTCATTAGCACGCTCCGACCACCAGGCTTCTCGGTCCTTACGCAAGCTTTGCCCAATTTCATTACGTAACAGCCTTCGTTTGTGGTCAAACTCACGGTCACCCGGAGTAGACCGACAGGCTTCAATCAGTTGTAAGGAGCCAGAAGAAACCCAGTGCTTGTAAGTTGGACGTTTCGCGAAGCCGCAAGCGGCTTTACTCGCCATTTTCATGGCGTCGTGAAGATGCAACCAATGCTCATCTATACTTTTCGGTGGGGTGTTAGCTAGCCTAGAGGCTAGCTCCGCTCGATACTTACTTGCAACAGGAGTTGCAGCCAGTTTACTAATATCAATCCGTTGGTGGTGGTCAATCCTTCGGCCACTGAAAAGTAAGGTGAGATTGGCGCAGACCAGGGCATGATCAGACTCCAGATAGGTACTCCAAAAGGAGCGGCAGTCTTGTACACAACCACGCCAGCGGTAGCTGATCGCGATGTGATCAATTTGAGTCCAGGCTTGGGATGCAGAGGGAGGACGCCAGGTGGCACACCGGCGATGACTGTGCCGGAAGTTGGTGCTGGCCAGAAACAGGTTGTGGTCTGTGCACAGTTGCAGCAAACGGTCCCCGTTATCTGTCCTGCGACCAACAAGTCCCCATCGGCCACCTAAACGACTCTCTTCTATGCCTAGACGCCCGACCTGTGCATTCAAGTCTCCGGCTAGTACTACAATATCTGTCGAACGCGCTTTCTGGAGAAGAACTGTTAACTGGTGGTAAAACTCATCCTTGATTGCATCCGGGCTGCAATCTGTCGGAGCATAGGCGGAGATGACGAAAAGACACCGTTTCTCACGCCGGTTTCTTCTCACTTTGATGGAACTTTCTAATCTAACAGCACATAATCGACTGTTAATGGGGATCCAATCGATTAGTGCTGCCTCAGCCCTAGCGCTTAGTGCGACGCCAACGCCAGCAAGACCAGACGAAGATGCCACAGGGTCCCCGGATAAGCGCACGTGGAACAAGCTTTTCGAGACGACAGATGGAGAGCGAATTTGTAGTACTTCACTAGAGTCTTGAATACCGGTCTCGGATAGACAACAAACGTCAACATTAAGACCTTCCAAAGACATAGCCAGCCCTATCTGTTGTCTGATCTGCATTAGTGTGCGAACGTTAAAGGAAGCCAGCTTGAACGGCGTACGTGGTTTCAGAAAGACTGCCTCAGTATTCATTATCGGTGGAAGCATTCACTTTCAACCAGACAGTGACTGGAGATCGTTTAGATAGGACAGATTTTCCACCAAGAGCGAGCTGCTACATAAGTTGAAGAGTAAGGTTACACAAATTGGGGATAAAAGGGGGTGAATTAGCGATATGTTAAGTAATAATAATAATAATAATAATAATGTAAATTGTCTTGCTTATAATATGAGCAGGAATAGAATCGTCAATAGAGTTCATCATTTCATTCATTTGTGTGTGGGCTGTGATACTGCCCGGGTGCCCAAACCGAAGCAGGTGGTTTGCTTAGGGGACCACACCCCGAGCCTTCGACCTAAAGGTCTGATCCACAAGGCAGTGGAGCATCGTGAGGAGATGCAGTCCCATGGTAGCCGTTGACCAATGACAGGTTCTTCCGTCATTCGTTCCATCAGGATACTGGAGCCCATGTGCACCATTGGTTTGGAATCAGGGTTTTCCAACTCCCCTAGGTGGACCCTCCGTGTCCACCAATCCGGTTATAGCGCCGGACATTCGCTTTTCGTCCTCTCACTTTTGTGAACAACACCCCCGCCACGAGAAGGCAGTGAGTAGGACTTCCCTGACAGAGGCTATATATTCGCTGGCCATATGAGAGTATTTCGAGAGGGAGAGTAGACTCTCCCCACTCTCGGCCGTACCAGGGCATTTGGGGGCAGTCGATAAGTGTTCCTCCTGGTAGGAGATCAATTTTTGAAAATTCAGTTGACGAGAGCGTTATTTCCAGCAGTAGGTCTATGATAAAATTGAACAGAAATGGAGATAGTGGACAGCCTTGTCGGACACCATTTGAGGTTGTAAAATCAGATGATAGTTCGCAATAAGTTCCCGCTCGACTGGTATTGTTCTAGTGAAGAGCCTTCACAAGGTTTATGTACTTCCGGGGTACACCTTTCAATGACAGACACTGCCACAAAACCCTTCAGTCACTTTGAAGACACATTCAAAGTTGTTGACACTACCAAATACTCAATACAAACAACAATTCCGTGCAGAAATGCGAAGCTTGAGTGTTTGAAATGGATAAATTTCAAAAAGACTCATTCAAAATGGAAATTTCGCTATATATGAGTCTATGGAGCGTCATGCTTGCAAAATAGTTGTCATTATTAAGAGATTACTTTATTTATTCTGTGCGGTAACTGTAGATTAGCTGAAGGCCAGCTGAACTGCTCCTTGAAGTGTTCCGCCCATCGTTCTAAACGTCAGGGCTGAGAGTAGATAAGAGTTCCGTCTTTTTTTCGAGATTGACTTCTTGATTCCGGTTTCTTTTATTAGCCTGAAGAGTTGTCTGGTGTTGCCTTCAGCCACTACCTTTTCCATTTCTTTCGCTTTCGTTGCTCACCACTGCTCATTACCGTTCCTTAAGCTTTTGGTTAACCGTAGCTTAGTCGGTCAGAGCGTCGTGTCCTCAAATGCTCTGGTACGGCCGAGAGTGAGGAGAGTCCGCTCTCCCTCTCAAAATGCTTTCACATGGTCACGCGTATACAACCTCTGTCAGGGAAGTCCTACTCACTTCCTTCTTGCGTCGGGGGTGTTGTTTGCGAAATAGAGGGGACGAAAAGCGAATGTTTGTAATACACACCACGAAATCTATGAACAAAACTTGTTAACTTGTATCAAGCTGTGAGATAAGTTTGTGTGTTATTGGCATCAGTTTTTGCAGCAACAAAGTACACTAGTTTTGTTTGAACACATGATCTCATCTATCATGCTACTTGTGCACCCCCATGATCTACACAGATTCAGATAACTTATGATATATTCTAACGCGGTCTTTTTGAGAAAACAATCATCAAAGTCGCTAGTTTTAGCTTTTCATTGATACTAGGTTTTTGGTATATTTACCTTTTCCATTCATTTCTATTTCAAACAAAACCGATCTTTTTATGTTTTACCACTCTCTCTAGGTCTGATATTAGTAGACATTCTTATCTTTGTAAAATTGTTGTTTGGCAAATCACGTACAAGATCCATCAAAATTCATTTTTGGATTTTCTGAAATAACATGACTTGGTATGTTTAATTATCTACTCAAAATTTTCCGACTAAAAACGAGTTCTCGTGTCTAAGTTTATTGACAATATCTTTACAACACGTAGTTTTTTCTATTGTTCACACCATCCTTAGTAGAATTTAGCGAAAATGTGAAGCCTTTGAATGTCATCGGTCATATGTTTTCTTCGAGTTGTAGTGGCACTTACCATTTACTATGATGTATTCTAAAAACCGTGAAATAGTCATTCGACCGAGCTTTGATTCAACAACACGTAAACTAAACACGATAACATCACATGAGGATTTTTCGTACTATATGTATATACATTTATTACTTACTCGATCTATCAAATGTACATCCGGTATTTGTAAACTTAGACATTCTTGATTTAGTCGACAATGCTTTCGAGTTTTATTGTTGTGCACCTGAGATGTGGTAATTCATAATTGTGGCAGTATATTAAGATATTAATCAAGTTCGTTGCTTCTGAAATGAGACCTGCCTCATATAAGTTAGATGAGATTGTCGCATACCAACTACATGACCGAGTAAATATTAAAATATAGGGTTCATGTGGTACTGGCAACGAATAAAACTACCTATTATCTTATATCACCATCTGTTGAATCTCACTATTCGTTGTCTTCGATGACTCAGTGAGCAATGTGTCCAATACGTATAGTGCTCTGTTAAATTATGGGTTAACGGACAGTGTAAATAGTTGTTAGTCATGGCTAGTGACTTTCATATTCACAAATAAATGAGTCCAAAAGTTCTATAGAGTCCCAAAGAAATTGGAGAGGCGTTATGCGGCAGTTCTTGTCATTAAAATGTATTTCAAAGAAGTACATCAACTTAGTGAAAGCCGTTTACTCGAACAATTGATCCATATGGGGCATTTTGCAAGCTGTAATGATTGTTAACTTCAAGTGGTGTTCGTCAGAGTTGTACACTACCCTTATGTTTATTTAACTTCATCGTAGACATACTTTGAGAGACAATAGTTTCTTTGTCTGACTTTATAGGGGTTATTCTCTCATCATACAATTCACCTTTAGACTTAGAATACATAAAAGACATAGTTTTATTTATTAAGTACTCCGACAACATACGGTCTTACTCAAATCTTGAGTAATAGCATTTGCAACTTTTTTGAATTCGTTTCTCCCTTACATGTTACTTCGGGATTGGCCTGTGTCATCGTATAAAGTGATAGTAGGTAATGAAATAGTTGAGTTCATTAAACATTGCACTTATCTTGGATGTCTCATTAGCCCTAGTAGGTTGATGTGTAATGAGATTTTGGTTTTTTCCCCAAATTGTATTAATTATAGAGTAGGTGGTTTGTTCATCTGTTGATTAATGTGCAACTAATACTGTATGGCAGTAAGTTTTGTTTTATTTTATGGATAAGAAATGGGGTATATGAAAGTAAAAGGCATGCTTAGGCTGTAAGTTTCTAATCATAGATATCTTCTACACATTTCTCGCTTATGTTGGAACCACCGATTTAACAATGTAAGGTTTAGATGCATGGTATTAGGCAATCCTGCTAAATCAAGTAATAAGGCTGTAAATCCTCATCGACTGATATAGTAGGGACATTTGCTAAGTGAGAACGACTATTCAGTAGTTAGGGTATTCAAATTTTAGCCACTAAGTCACAGATTAGAACCCCACTTCTTCTGTTTGAATAATAAAATAGTATTGCTAGCCCTCTCACTTAGATTATCGTCCGAGTACAAAGACACAACTCTGTACTTCTCATTTAAATTGAGTTTGCGTATGCCCAGTCACTCACACCTCAGCATGAAATGTTAGCTAGTATAAAAGTAGGTTGATAGAGAAGTAGTGGCGGGATAATCAAGGTGTAGCATCAGTTTATAGCATTATCGACTACTAAACCAAGGCGTGTTGATCGGTCCAGACTACCTCATTAGGGCCCTCTTGGTTATCTCAACTATTAGTTGGAGACGTTGGGTGACTTGACTCGAATGCGTAAACGCACTCATACCGTATCTTCTAGAGCGAATCTCAGTATTTCTTCATACACAAAACTCTACACTTTGTCTTCTCAAACCCTATTCTGTATTCAGTCTCTTCCACTGTCATTGGTTCTACAATTATTTTGGCTGGGTTTGTATTCGTTATATTGATTCCATATCGTCGTGCTCAGATGGTATGGCGACTTGGGTTAACGCGTAATTGTGTTAGGCTCTGTGTCGATTATGACTAACTGGTTTCCAAAATAGCTATCGTGTGTTTATATTTTTAGTGTTTTAGAAGGAAAAATAGCTTTTCATTTAATGATGTTCACTTTTAGAAAATGTTTTACAACTTTGACAAAAACTATTCAAATGTACAAGGAAATTTCAAGACATCTAAGATTTAAGCAAGTTAAAGAGAAACATTTGTATGTTGTGTAGTCCAAAGTAAAAACATACATAGGCAAACTACAACAACTTTGTTCTACTGTAGTTTCCTTCTGAAACCCGAAAAATACATTCCGTGTTTAGATCACTTGAATTCACTTAACAAACCAGAGCAATTAAATGTGAAAGATGATTGGATGTCCGATCAATATTTAGTATAATATATTGATGATATCTACTTTGTCTCTCATCTATTACATGTTCAAATTTCTTCTGTTTTAGATATTAATGATTACATGGACCAGACAGATGAATCGGTATTGATCAGTCATGAAGCAAAAGAATTTTATGATGAAATTCGTGGACTAGTTGTTGTCTTTTTGCTATTCACCATCCTTTTCTTTATTGCTCATATCACATTGCAGTATTTTCTAACTAGAACGGAATGTGAGTTAAAGCCATATCGGGGTGAACGTTTAGCTTACCAACTAGTCTTGGGCATATGTACATTTACACTGACGATAGGCCTGACTTCATACAGTTTGTTGCCGTTCACCATTATCACCAATGAGATTCTATTTATTTTTCCTAAATCCTATTATGTACAATGGTTAAATGGGGAGTTAATACAAGATTTGATACTGCTTATTAATATCGGGTGTAAAATATCCTATTTAAGTATACCATTTTCTTATTTTTTGTTAAATTCTCAGGGATTTCTTTATAAACCACATTCCTTAACACCACGCTTGATTTATTCTTTCACGATGGTTTTATTCTTTTACATTTTGTGTTTTGGTACGTCATGGTCGCTAACCAGCTTTGTATCGGCATTGAATTATTATTTTTTATCAGATGTGTTACCTGCTAGTGATAACAACTCATTTCGTACATACCATCATCAGACTTATTTTTCTGTCAGTCCTACGCATCACCTTGACTATTATAAAAATCATCCAGTTTCACTTCTCCTGGATTACGTAAGATCTGTTGGCTGGATTAGATTTCTTCAGAACGTTTTCATCCAGGTGATATTTATGTCAGCTTTAGAATTGATTCAAATGACAGCCTCTTTATTAGGACTGTTATTATTATTTATTTGTACTCCAGTGGGTCTACTGTCCATTGTCTTAAATCTAATCACAATTAGTATACATTCTTTACCGGATTTAACACCAAAACAAACATTGCATAATCGTATTGAACAATTGAATTTTGAAGCGTTGACCGTCATGGATGACATTAATTGTGTTCAACTTCTGTATACTACTAACAATATGATGGATGACGAAGATAATTTTTTGGTTCACAAATCAATTTGTTTTCGGAATTATACTGATGTCAAGTCAAAAGAAGAGCTGTTACTTAAGTATACAAATAAGTTGGACTTGTTGAACTTAGAAGTATTACAGATTAGACAACGTATAAACGCACGTACGTTTTTGGGATTTATGCACGAATCTACACACTTGCTTTTTTATTTCTTCTGTTTAATCTTGCTTTTTGTTTTGTTTCGCTTATTGGAATCGTTTGTATTTTTCAATATCCTTGATCTCTTATGGAGTATGGTTTTTGGCAATTATGATAGTAAAGACATCAGTAGTTATTTGGTGACATCAGAAAGCAAATGTTCATCGCTGCCGGGTAATTCTGCAGATTACAATTTTACACTTGGCTTAAAGCCTGTTTCGTCACTTGGACATATTGGGGCTGCTTTCCAGGTAATTTTTCCATCATTTACACATGCTCTTGTGTATGTAAATAAGTGGGATATGACTGATTTCAAACATTTTTAGCGTATCTGCTTATCTGTAATCATATGGTATTTTAAGTGGCGATTTCACAAACTCTACTCCCATTACACTTAATACATAATAGTTGGAATGTCCTATTCTGCTAAGTTTACGAAGCTTTTCAATATATTGGTGTTTAAATGGTATTGGCAGGGTATCATAGACGCAAGTTTCTCACATACCACCAATCTTCATCAAATTGTGGTTATAATATTAAAGAACTTGTACCTGTTCCGATATTTAGATTGACTATATTCAGTGCTCTATTAGTTTCTGACGGGTAGTTATTCCAGAGATAAATAGCTGTGCGTGTACATGCTTCCTAATGACGTTCTGGAACCCTATTTTAGAGTATGCATCGTGAATTCAAAGATTAGAGATACTGGTAGGTATTAATTACTGTCTTCCAGTTATTTTTATTACTTGATTAGTAAGTCAGTTAAGATACGGGCTTCTAACGGATGTCTACACGGCAAGTGATTTTATGTATTAATGATAAACTTCAACCCGACTATCAATAATTATGCTCATTTTGCCCCATAAGCATTGGTGTTCACCGTTTTGCTAAATAACTATACCACAGTACTGATAGACTTGGTTTAAACTTGGTAAACACGTTTAATATATGAAAGCGTATTTAGGTTTTTACTCCTTCCACCACTGGTACACGTCATGTAGCTCATTCGTTCAAGCTGAAGTTTAAGATCTTACTGGCTTTGTTCCACCTATTAGGTTTATGAAAATCGAGTTTTCTGACTTGCGCTCCCATAATAGTCGCGACGAAATTCCTGTCAGATAAAGTATATTCAATCAAAGAGTAGGAATTTATCTGTTTTCTCGTGTTTGCGCCTATCGTTAATAAACAAAAAGCTTCTCATAGCACTTAGAACATTAATCAGCGATTCTTGTTATTTCCCTGGAACATTTGCGTTCACAACGGACATCATACTGAATTGTCTTTTTTCACACTTAGTACTTGTTTTTTATGGTGTTTTAGAATTTCTTTAATAAATGCAAGTAGTAAAAAACAGAATTTTACTTATTGACTAAAATATTTATTAGTTTTCGGTATAATAGGTGCTTTCTTCAATGTTACTTTGCTAAAATTGGGTAATTATTATGGAATTTATATTTTAAAACCTGTCCTTAAACATAATAAATAACACTCAAGTTTACAGCATTCTGTTTATCGCGTTCCCGACTGATTGATTATTTTCTTTCTAGGTCTGCCTGGTGCTGTTTCTTCTTGTATTAAGTTTGTGGGGTTTTTACTCACTCCCATGTGCTCGTTTTCTTCGACCGAGATATCGCGCAACGAGTTTGGATATTATGTTGGCGAACATCTTGTTATTCCTAATGTTAAGTGCCGCACTTCCTCTACAAACCAATCTGCTAGGATTAACCACACTCACTTTACCTAGTCCACTTAAAACAGAAGCTATCGTGTTACCCACATATTCAGAATGTTCAACTCTTGTCTGCGAATCTTCACAATACCGATTTATTTGTGATGAAAATACGTCCAACTGTCCGAGTACAAAATCGAGCAAGAAATCTAGCAGTTGGTGGACAAAGCTGATCAGTGGCACATACTTTGATTCATTCAACTGGCTTACCTTTATCCGTACAATTAATCCATTTAGTTCTCCATCTCCGAATAATCTAGATGAATCAACGGTACCACGCCCGATCCAAGCTAAGGAACAGTCGATCTTCCGTCAGTTTATTTCTCGTGCTTTTGGCTATTCATCTGTATCGCCTAGTTATGGGCTAGGTCTAGTCATACTAACGTATAATATTTGCTTCCTGGTTTCTTCAATGTGGATTGCTGGCCGACGACTAAGAGATGCTACGTTGTCAATCAGTTTAGATGTGGTAACGACGATTCGGTGTTTACATCAGTTGGACATCACATCTAAACCTAGATCACACTTAGAACATACGGAATGGCTAAATGAACTACCTTGTACCAACGGTTCAGAAGAACTTGATCGACGTATTTACTAGTTATAGTCAATTCTATCCTGCTGACAGTTCGATTACTATGTGTGTTTACACAACTAGTGGAAATGTTTGTAGTATATTCGTAGATTTGTTTTACTGCATTTTCCTTTTTTTCTCTTATTAAAGAACTAGTCGATATATATATATATATATATATATATATATATATAATCTTCCAAGTCGATTAAATTTTATTACTTATTACTTCAAGTGATCTCTTCGTTCGAGTATATTCTAATTTATGTCTATTTTTCGTTCAATACTTTGACAGTAATCGGTTTCAATTTCATTCCTCTTTTGAATAACCATTCGATTTTCTTTATTATTTTTCGGTTTTTGGTTTTTCTCAACTTCGGTAATCTATTGTACAAACGATCGTTAACTTAATTCTATGTTTAGAATTTTATTTTGTACATAAGTAAATTGCAAATGAAATAATCCTCCATTTGCAATTGCTATAATTATTATTGCCTGTAAAGTGGGTTACTCTGATAAATGAATGACATATATATATATATATATATATATATATATATATATATATATTGTTTTTGGTTTTCTTACGTGGAAGAGAAAGTAAGCAGAGGTTATACATATCCCAATGGTGGCGATGATCAATAATAGTATTTTGTTGGAGATATAGGAAAAGTACTATTGGTTAACTTCTCGACTGCTATTCTACACATTTCGAAAGCTACTCAACTTTACGTTAAGAAGGCACGTCATAATATCATTAACAAGTCCATGTTTTTTACATTTTTGAAAATAATTTAGTTCCAAAAGTATTCTTTCTCATCTTCTGTTAGCGGGACATAGATTGGCTTAAAGCAGGTGTCATACACGATTGCGTTGGTGCACACTGATTGGTTAGTTCTTATCCAATCAGGGCTAGTCGATACTTAGAGAAGACTCTAGAATCTTCTCGTGTAAAAACTATAAACATAGTAACGTATTGTTTATTGCGGTTCTCACTTCCATCTACCCTTGTTATTCGGAATATAACACCTTTCCTGTCCTACCGTGTTCTGATCCGGGACTTGTCGAGTGAATTGGTGTCCAGGAATACTAAGCAACATGAATAGATTGGTCATAAATAAGAGAAATTATAACATCTCCAAAGCTAACCTGGCTAGAAATCTAGTTTATTTGAAATCCTCACTAATACTGCATAAGAATTCATGACATGAGAATGATTAATAATTTTTTATATGGGCGTTTTGGCTGTTGAAATAGTGGTCGGGTAATGACACTCCGCCTGTAGCTCCTCTGTTGGTTACTGCCGGTCCTTAGCCCGGGTAAAGGAGGAGGGTTGGGCATGGGATTAGCGACCTCATTTCGTAGAAAATCAACTCGCCTACCCGACATCGAAGCAGCACCCACGTACCTCTTAATCGATGTTGGCCTACCAACAGTTGAAGAGATTGTAGTGAACAGAACACTAGTTGGGGACAATCGAATGTATTTAAGCAAAAATTACAGACTATCTCAGTAAATTCTGATAACCAAACAATGAACAGTTAATTTGCAAATTAACAACCAATTGTTTCAATCTTCACTGTTTCTTCTCTAATTTCATTGCTCGTGCATTTTCCAAACGATCACGCTTCGTTTCAGTTCTTTTCTCATCGGTCTTCTGCCAAAATACATTCTGTCTGACCAACACCATATACTACTTAAATGGATATAAGTAGACCACACCACAAGATCTGCATGGCCATTAGACAAGTCAAGAGTGGCAAAGCAGCGGGACCAGACAACATCCCGGCAGAGGCACTGAAAGCAAATGTAGCAGCAACTGCCAAGATACTCCACATCCTCTTCAGTAAGATTTGGGACGAAGAACAAGTACCAACAGACTGGGAAAAAGGACTTCTGATCAAAATACCAAAGAAAGGCGACCTCATCAAGTGCGACAACTACAGGGGCATCACTCTTCTCTCAATACCAGGAAAAGTCTTCAACAGAGTATTGTTAAACAGGATGAAGGATTCCGTGGACGCCCAACTTCGAGATCAACAAGCTGGATTTCGTAAGGATAGATCGTGCACCGATCAAATCGCAACTCTATGTATCATTGTGGAACAATCAATTGAATGGAACTCATCACTCTACATCAACCTCATCGACTACGAGAAAGCATTTGATAGCGTTAACAGGATGACACTATGGAGGCTTCTTCGACACTACGGCGTGCCTGAGAAGATAGTCAATATCATAAGGAATTCCTATGATTTATTAAACTGCAAAATCGTGCATGGGGGACAACTCACTGATTCGTTCGATGTAAAAACCAGTGGCAGGTAGGGTTGCTTATTCTCACCCTTTCTCTTTCTCCTGGTGATCGACTGGATTATAAAGACGTCAATGTCTGGGGGGCAGTACGGAATACAATGGACAGCTAAGATGCAGCTGGACGATTTAGACTTCGCGGATGATCTGGCTCTTCTATCACAAATGCAGGAGAAAACGACCAGTGTAGCAGCAGTAGGTCTCAATATAAACAAAGAGAAAAGCAGGACTCTCCGATACAATACAATATGCACCAATCCAATTACACTTGATGGAGAAGCTTTGGAAGATGCGGAAACCTTTACATATCTGGGCAGCATCATTGATGAACACGGTGGATCGGATGCAGAAGTGAGGGCGCGGTAGGCAAATCAAGAGCAGCATACCTACAACTGAAAAACATCTGGAGCTCAAAACAACTGTCAACCAACACCAAGGTTAGAATTTTCAATACAAATGTCAAGTCAGTTCTACTGTATGGGGCGGAGACGTGGAGAACTACGAAAGCCATTATCCAGAAGATACAATTGTTTATCAACAGCTGTCTACGCAAGATACTTCGGATCAGATGGCCAGACACTATCAGCAACAAGTTACTGTGGGAGACAACAAACCAGATTCCAGCGGAGGAAGAAATCAAGAAGAAGCGCTGGAAGTGGATTGGGCACACCTTGAGGAAATCACCTAATTGTGTCACAAGACAAGCCCTCACATGGAATCCTGAAGGTCAAAGGAGAAGAGGAAGACCAAAGAACACATTACGCCGAGAAACGAAGACAGACATGAGAAGAATGAACAAGAACTGGATAGAACTAGAAAAGAAGGCCCAGGACAGAGTGGGTTGGAGAAAGCTGGTCGACGGCCTATGCTCCATTGGGAGTAACAGGTGTAAGTAATTTTATCTGTAGTAAAAATGGAAGATAAAAAGGAAGAGAACTGTTCAGTATTCCAAAGACTTTCATGAGTGAATATAGCTTAAAAATTTAAAACATATTTCCAGTAGTGTCATCATATTTTTCGAGCTGTATGTTTCACCAGTTTCTTGAAAATATCAAACTGAAAGTCAATAAATATATGGATTAGTGAAACAGACTTCCATGAAAATCTATACTTATGTGAGTAGTACTAGACCTGAGGTTTCTGTATCTGCTCATGTATAGGTCGGTATTAATCGACTGCTACAAGTCTAAAACTGAGATGAATCAACTGTCCTCTGCCAACTTATTTTCAGTGGTTATTCACTTGTCATCAGCTCATAGTAATAAAATATTTTTTTCAAGTTACTGGCTATTGATAGTAAAACTTAAAACCTGAAGTAGAGAGTTATCTACCGATAATTATAAATTACGTAATACAAAATATAATGCATTACAATGACTTATTAATTTGTCCATCGATCATGTTTCTAGCTAAAGTCTCAACAGTCTAGCATGAAAATAATTTTAAATTTATTAGTGACGTTTTTGAAAAAAATTTAGGTTCACCCTAAATATGAGCATTTGACTCCCATCTGTTTTGAGCCTTTAGCGGCTTGTCTTATGACCTTATTGACATTCATAATCGGATTTGCTTAGTTTTTGTTAACGAATATTCTTCAACACCAAATGAAACAATACTCCTTATACAAACAAGTTGTTGACGTAACTATGTAGCGAACGAGAACACAGGTGGTAACAACTAAAAGTATTTTAATACAAAATTACAGAATGCATTAGTCAAATCTGAGAACATTTTAATAAAGTGAAAATTCCCATTTTGACATTTGTTAATTAAGTTCCTTTCTTAATTAACAAATCTGAGAACCATACAGTAAATACTTCATTGCAAAATGTCAATCGATTGTCTCAGACTTGATTATTCCTTCGTTTTCATACCAATCATTCTCTGTTCTCGTTTTCTTCTCTTAGATTTTCCCAACCTTCTATAACCAGGCATTTGACTTTCGATTGGTGATACATACTACTTGTATCTGTCAACATCGGTAGCATACCACAATTATACGCACAAATAGTTATGAATATATTCATACGTGAAAAACAATTTAGTGATTATCTAAACTCATAACTGTAGTGAATAACACAGCAGCATTGGAAACGACAGATACAAGACTGAAACGTCAGTATGAATGTAAACACTGGGACTCCAGTATGACCATATGACTAGTCCTGATTAAGAAGAAACTCTCGTTCTTAGTTACGCCCCTAAATGAAATTTCCTTGTCTTATGTTCATGTTTACTCCTCTGATATATAGTAATTCAATGAGATACTTAAGAGATGGGAATAAGATCATGTATTAAGATAACTTCTAATTGGATGTGATTATTCTTCTATTGTTAAATCATTTTCATTTCCAAAATTCTATAGGTAACCGTCTTTTGGTTAAAAGCCATCTCCATGATAGTATGTAGGTTTTTATCCTGATAATATTTTCACCACTTTGCTTTAAGGTTTAGTTCTAAAAATAATATAATGTCAGGAGTTAAACATGATTCTATGGTTGTGAATGAATGATGTCTAGTTTTTATTGCTATACACTATTTGGATTCATTATAAACAATTATCATGCTCATAATTAAACATTTATGTACATGAACATTATATTCATTGATATTCATAAAGATTTGTGGAGCATAGGCCATTGACAAGCATTCTCCATTCAACTCTGTCCTGAGTAATCCTTTTCAGTTGCTATTCATCCTTTTTCATCTCTGCT